GAACGTGTATATATATATATATATATATATATATATATATATATATATATATATATATATATATATATATATATACTCGAACACTTTATTTATGTTGTAAAATCCCAATTCAGTTTTATTCTAACAAGTTAGAAGCTACATATTAATCACAATCCTCGCCACACACACAGAGAAACACACACACACACCCACCTTCACACCGGCACACACACCGACACACACAACCACACACACCGACACACTTATATATGTAGAAGTGACTCCCCTATCTGCACCTCCTCAATTAAACTTGGACCTCCCCTTTCACTCCCCGCACCCCTCCTTAACGAACCCCACCCCCGGGCCCCTGTACACACGCAAACAAGACATAATGAGTTTCCTTTTAATTGGGAACTATAATTGAGTTTGTGGAATGAGAAAGAGCGATGATAAATATTGAATCAGCCGGTCGGCCGGCGTTGTTTGACTCTAATTTAGCCGGCAACGATGAAGGCTTGTGGGAGACTCTATAGAATGGAGCCGGGCCGGGGTAGAAGAAAGGGGGACAATTTTATGAAAATACGGAGGGGAAAAAACAAGGAAATGGGGGGAAAATATACCATTTAAATTCTGGGGTCTATGCGGGTGGGGGCGGGGCTTGGCATCGAGAGTGTCTGGACGAGAGATTTCAAGATTTGGTGATACAATCCTGGTGATACAGTCGTGGTGATACAATCATGGTGATACAATCCTGGTGATACAGTCACTTGTGTGCGATACCAAAGCGAGGTTTTAGAAGAGGATTGAACTGAAGGAAAGCGAAAGATTTTTTCAAAGATTCAGGAATTTAAAAACTCTCACGGGCAATCTTTTCAAATGAAAAGATAATATTTAAAAATATTTTTAGAGTTTATCGATCGAGATGAACTGATCGTTCTCTTAAAAAAAAATTGATCCCTATTTTAGAATATCTAGTTAGTAGTATATTTAAATATTTGTATGAATTTACATTACAATTTACTAAATCTAAAGATCTGTCTGTCTGTCTGTCTGTCTGTCTGTCTGTCTGTCTGTCTGTCTGTCTGTCTGTCTTGTCTGTCTTGTCTGTCTGTCTGTCTTGTCTGTCTGTCTGTCTGTGCATGTGTGGAACTTTAGTTGATGAAGAGTTGTTCAAGGTAACAGACGCTTCTTATTATAACTCGAGGCGTTGTGTTAATTATTAATTATCAATTAGCTAACGTTTGTTAATTTTGTAAAACTTAATTAAATTCCTGGACATTTTTCCCAAGAAAAAGTTAGAAATAGCCAATTAATTTTAGAATCTTTAATTAAGGTGAAGAGTTCAGATCCCGCGAGTTGAAGGATAAATCGTGTTACCTTGTTGACAGTTCTAGCTGGCAAGGGCTGTTACGTAAGGACATAGCTGTATTAGGTCATGGCTGTTTTAGGGCATTGGTGTATTAGGGCATTGTATTCGGGCATGGCTGTGTTAGGGCATTGGTGTTTGAGGACAGAGCTGTTTTGTTACAAATACTTATTACGATCTTTACACTTAAGACGTACTGTAACTTTGACTTTTTATTAACTTATCCATTTTTATTAGGTATCCTTACTAAAAATTTTCATTTAATTGGCATTGGGTACGACAATTTTTTTAAATGTGTTGTTCCACTTATATTTTGATGTGGTGAGCTATACAATTTCATAAAGGCAGGTATTGATCTAATAGGGACTCCGCCTTTGTAGAACTTTGGAACAACTTTGTCACGCCCCCGGCCTTTGGGCACTCCCTGACGCCCGGCTGCACCATTGCACCCCGCCCTACGCCCTGTCTCTGGTGCTGGTCATCACATACACACATACATACACACACATACATACACACATACATACACACACATACATACACACACATACACACACATACATACACACACACTCCTTGACGCCCGGCTGCACAAATGCACCCCGCCCTACGCCCTGTCTCTGGTGGTCATCACATACACACACACACACCCACTGACACCCAGCTGCACCACTGCACTCCGCCCCCCCCCCCCCCTCCCTTCCACCCCGGTGGTAGGTGACGTTCAGTCAAACGGCACCAAATGAAAAGACCGCACACAAGCAGCACCTAATACAAACACGGGAATTAATGAACGCGCACACAGAAGAAAATGATGGGGGGGGGGGGGGGGCATACCAAGTAACCATAAATATATTGAAAACTTGATCAATGCGTTGTCGGCACATCCGTCGTGGGAAAATCCGTTTTTTCGGTCATTCCCGTTTGCACGACTATTGGATGTGGATGCAGCTCCCTTGTTGTACGGTTTCCCCCTGTTATAAAACGGTGTCTGATAAACGGGATTTCCCGTTTAAGCAATAGTTTTTTTTTTTTTCCCATTAAGGGGAGGCCAGTGGGTTGATATTAAGGATCGTCTGTCCATCTATCACTCGACCAACGGTTAATTCCCTTGATTATGATCTTTGCCAGCGCGGCCCAGAAATGGCCGAACTAAGACAAACTAACACCCCATTCCTTTATTACATCAACTGGGCCTCATTCGTCATACGCCGAGTAAATGACAACATGGCTGCCCTACGTCCGATACTATCAAATTAAACCATACGATGCGCATTTTTTACCCCGTCGTTTTATGTGTACATCTTATTTAGACGGGGGTCACTTGATTGTATTAAGGTGGTGGTGTTTTGATTGTGTTGGGGTGGGGGGTGATCTTGTTGGGGTGTGGGGTTTGTCGGGTGGTGTTAGCACGTGAGGGGGGTGGGTGGTGTTAGTGTGAGGACTGCACATAATCAATAGATTACAAGAACCAGTGGCGGCATTTAATTAGTGGACCGCTGAGTGGTCGGCTTAATTAGTGACCAGCCCAGCGAGTAATGAGTTTAATTAGTGACTTGTCTGTGACACAATAGCTAACGTCAGACCAAGCAGCGTCGGATACGTGGTAGATAAGTATCTAGGGGTGGTGTGGGGGGTCTAAATAGGGTCCATACAATAGGCCCAGGTAACTTAAGCGCTCTAGCCAGTTAGGAACAGTCAAGTGTCCGTCCAACCCCCCCCCCCCCCCCACCTAACCTCGGCAGGTTTCGGACCCGTGACGCTCTTGTCCGACCCTCAGCCAATGGCAGCCCTCGCCTTGCTCACGTGACTCGGGTCCCGACCAGCGCTCGTGTGTCGTCGCATAACATTTAATTGCAATTAGTCCACGATCATCATCCCTTCCTGTATTTACTAATGACGGAGCTCTCGAAAACTAGAAGTAATTACAGCACAGTTGGGTTAGACGTACCCAATTAGCTCTCACGTTAGCTCAATCATATCACCATAGAAACCCGAACCCTAAACCCTAACCTTAAACACAACCCCTAAAGCCAACCACACTGGAGTGAATACACGCATTAAAATTGTGTAGTGTATAAAAATTGATCCACGTTTCAAATCATTTGTACCATTAGCCGGCTATAATAACCGGCTATAATTAACCTGTAATTAGTTGACGGTCCGACGGGTTTCAAGTGTCACTCGGGTGTCGTGTTTACCGGGCCGGCCGTGGCACTCACGTCATCCATTTCTTCAATCGTTATTAACGCCCCTGCGCAACCAATCAGGTCACGCAACTCGTTAGTTTGATCTTGGTAGCAGGGGGAGACGACCCAATCGAAAATAAATCTAATATTGATGGGTGGTTTTTTTCTCTCCCTTTATTGCAATTTTAAGAGGATAAAAAGAAGATATTTAATTCTTGAAATTGCTTTTGATCAATTTTTTTTTATTAAACCTTCGTTTTGAAATCAAACTAAAATTTAATTGCATATTTAACGATCGGTGCTATCTGTACCAATACACAGGCCGCTCTGTCAGATACTTTATCTGGCTACTTTGTCAATCGATTGCATTTTATGGTGGCTTCAATAGATGACCTTCTGACCTCTCACCTTGATTGTATGAAAACCTGACCTTGGATGAATGTTAGTTGGTGTCTTTTTGCGCAAAGTATGACATCTGACCCACGAAAGCTAATAAAAATGTGTTGTCAAATAGCAAATTTATTCGTGTTTCACTTCTGTGGTACTACATTACTGTACTTTTATGGGCCAAGTATTACACGATAGTCAAGTCCTCTATCATGCACTACACATCAAAGTACTACACATCAATTGACTAACCGGTTGTAACCTCATCATCCAGTATAAACCATTTGTAAATTGAACTATTTAACACATTCTGGCGTTTTGAATCCATTTTAGCTATAGATTTAGCAATTAAAACCAGTAATCAGTTTAACCACTTTTAACCAGTTTTAACCGCGTGTAACCAATTTAAAACCACGTGTAACCAGTTTAACCACATGTAACCAGTTTAACCACGTATAACCAGTTTAACCACGTATAACCAGTTTAACCACGTATAACCAGTTTAACCACGTATAACCAGTTTAACCACGTATAACCAGTTTAACCACGTGTAACCAGTTTAACCACGTGTAACCAGTTGTAACCACGTGTAACCAGTTGTAACCACGTGTAACCAGTTGTAACCACGTGTAACCAGTTGTAACCACGCGTAACCAGTTGTAACCACGTGTAACCAGTTTAACCCCTTGTAACCAGTTTAACCACTTGTAACCAGTTTAACCACGAGTAACCAGTTTTAACCGCGTGTAACCAATTTAAAACCACGTGTAACCAGTTTAAACCACGTGTAACCAGTTTAAACCACGTTTAGCCAGTTTAAATCACATGTAACCAGTTTAACCCCATGTAACCACTTTAAACCACCAGTGTAACCCACGTGTAACCAGTTTAAAACCACATGTAACCAGTTTTAACCCCATGTAACCAGTTTAAACCACATGTACCCAGTTTAAAACCCCATGTAACCAGTTTAACCACGTGTAACCAGTTTAAAACCCCATGTAACCAGTTGTAACCACGTGTAACCAGTTGTAACCATGTGTAACCACGTATAACCAGTTGTATCCTCTACCCCACAGGTCTGCTGACTAGGCCCAGAAAAGAAGGAGAAGAAGACGAGGAAGAGGAAAACGAAAGATAAGAACCCGGATGGTGAGATATAAATAGAACTGTACATGACATTCATCGGGATGTGGTGACATCGGGATGTTGTGACATCGGGATGTTGTGCACATCTTTGATCCACTTGACGGCTTTGGTTTGAAAGACATTGATGACTCAAGTTTTGTTAACATTTGTTAACATCGTACAGATGAAACAGATCACGTGACTGGCTCGTGTTAACAGTTGGATGTGTGTTGACTTTTTTAAAGGAATACATAATGTTAACATTTGATTGTGTAAGGATCATGAAACATTGGTGTCAACATTTGATTGTGTTTTATAGTTGGACCGCTGAGGACAATCAAGCTGACTTAATCTTTCTAATGTCGTCATCATAGCCTACGTCACAATAACCTTCGTCACAGTTTACGTCACAACATGGGCCTAGTTATATGACGTCATATATAAGGAAGATCTCTCCGCCAGATGACCTTTTGATCGTTTGATGACCTTTTGATCGTTTGATGACCTTTTGATCGTTTGATGACCTTGATCTTCTTGTGACCTTCTCTTCGTGGTGTATCACTTTCGTTAACATTTCAAGATGGCCGTGTTAACATTTCATGATAGTTTTGTTAACATTTCATCGGCCTGGACCATCAAATTTTGTTCACAAAAAATCTTTTGTCGTTTAGGCCAACACAATATGGCCAATGGGCTTTAAAGATGGCCATCGCTTACTAAAATGGCCAACATGGGAGTCAGCTAAATCAGAGAGTGGTCCACAGACAGTAGTAGGAATCCACATCCAATACACTGGAATTGACGGATAAAATAATTGGCTAACATTTTCTGCAAAGTTTGTTAACTTTTAAGTATTCATCTACATTCGTCATGTCAGTTAACTTAGGTTCGACGCTTGTTAACCTTACAGTTAACATTTGTTCCGCTGTCGTTAACTTTAAACATTTGTATTGTGTGTACGTTCAACTTTTCACTGTACATAAAAATTTGGCCAACTATTTGTTCATGCATATTTTTCTGGCCGTCAAGTATGTAACGTTTTCGCCAATATGTATGTGACGTTTCTATGTGCACAACTTCGTACTTGATTTAATCATGTCGGCATCGGATGTGGCGTGCACGGCACTTTTCCGTTAGAAGGTACCAGTCAGCCATTACATCCCCATCATGTGACTGATATCGCTAAACTTAATCTGACACCATTAACGTTAAACTAACTAAAGCCGTAATCCTAATCCAACAATACCAACACTTCAGTACATAATCCGATAATACTGAATTGGCGACTGGTACCTTTAAACGGAAAAATACCCTCGTCACATTTGTATAGCGTCAAATGTATTTGTATAGTACTTATGTATCCACTATTACATATGATTATACTTGTTAAATCTTTGCTTACTTATAGGGAGTACCCCCCCCCCCCCCCCACTTTATCCACACACCCCAACCCTATCCACCCTACCCTCTTTAATCCAGTCTCACCATGGTAGCGCCCCCTGCCGGTGCGACAGCGTGACTCACCCAACTCCCCCCTCCCCTCCCCGTCGTTGTGACGTCGTGTCGAGTACAGCCTCACTTTCCGCAAGTGGACTAAAGCACTCGCAGCGGCACATGCAATTAGATCACTTTGGTTTTCCGCGCTCATCTTGGGTAGTTTTCTTCAACTTCTGTACGCCGTAGCCAATCAGAAGCGTCGACACAAACCTTCAAGCAATCTCTTAGTGTGTCATCCCTTCAAATTGAATGCCGATATTTATAGATTATTTTTTCTTTTACAATTTTTTTCCTAACAATTACATGACGTTAATAAAGGACAAGTTGATAAAGGAAAATAATTAAAATAAAATAAAAACCTCGGTATTCATTACTTTGAATAATTTAAACAAACCGAGCAATGGGAGGCCACTGATGCATCATTTAAAGGGAAGCAATTAACTTTTTTTTTTTACCTGATTGGATGCACCTGTTTTTTTTTATCAGCAGACTCACCTGACGGTAGGTAGGGTTGTGTAAAAATGACGTTCTGTCTCTCTTTAGCTTGTGTCACAAGTTTACGATTTGTTTCAATGTCATTCTAATAAAAGAAAGAAGAAAAAAACTACATGCTGTGCGTTATTTTTTTACTTACATCATATCATTAAGGATAAGCTAGTCTTTAAGAAAGGTGATGAGTCTGACTCGGAGGTCTCCCAACTTTTTAAATACTATGCTAAGAGTTTTATCACAACTTAGCCATCTTACTACTCTGTATTATGGTAAATCTTACGATTCCTTGTCTGTACCTCTCAACGTGTCAATGAATTGTCTGTGGTTGAGCCCATGTAACCTCATGAAGTTCTTCATCTTCACATTTTCCGTAGACAAAAAGATCTCCGTGGGCCGGATGAGAGGACCTCTCGGGCCGCATCCGGCCCGGGGGCCGTAGTTTGGAGACCCCTGTGTTAGACAATTGTGTTAATAGAATTAAAAGTACTGGAAGTGTTATTTTGTGTAAGTTTTTATTTTCACCCCACCCCCCACCACCAACCCTAACCCAGCAAAATTAATTTAACGTCATGTGAACACAATTCTTTCAAAGAACTATGGAATCTTGTGTGGAGGCAACGTGGTTGAACGTCAGAAGCCAGGACTGTTGAACCAGAAGAACCTGGTTTAAACCACCGTGATTGTCCTCTCGTTACATCAAGGTGTCACTGAGCCTACTCAGTTTTTTTTATGTACTTGGCGTTAATTGGGAAAATTTAAGGTGGTTGAATTAATACGGGCTCACCCGGGGTTACACTGTCATGTCCACAAACAGACTTTGCTACTATCCAGTGTACCATCTTATCCATCATCTCATACACCATCTTATCCATCATCTCATCCACTATCTTATCCATCATCCCAACTATCCACTCCCCTTTAGACCTGAGGATGTATTTAAGCCAGTATGGACGAGATGTCCTAATTAACATAACTCCATAATTAGAGATCCATTTGTCAGCCGAGCCCGCTTAATCTAACTGCACGTGAATAATTGACTTCACGTGCACCAATGACGGTTGATATCTTCTCTCATGTCACCGTGACCTGTGGGCAGATACGTCTGACCCCCCCCCCCCCCAGCCCATCTACCCCCACCCCCAGCATGTTTAATGCACCAGCAATTTGAGTCTACGGCCGGGCAATCAATAAACGCAATTAAGGTTTTAATGCATTAACGTAAGCGAAACTTGTCCCAGTCCATGAGAGACGCTTTAATTAACGGCGGCGGCACTAGCAGCCATTGGCTGAATTCTCAAGGCGGCGGCACTAACAGCCATTGGCTGAATTCTCGACAGGAAATGACGCACGTTTGTTGGGTGGCGTTGTGGTACATCGCATGGGGGGGGGGGGGGGGGTGAAGGTGGGGGTGTGATGAAGACGTTTGTTTACTAACAAATGGTTACGTTGTATTCAAATTCAAAAGGTTACAAACTGTTGGTATTCTGGGGATCAATAGGGGTCTGTTTGTACATGTTTGTATACTGTTGGGTGGGGTCGTGTGTGCTAACTGCTCTAGGGTATAATGTCAATACCTGCTAATTATGTACGCTTTTATATAGACTACGTCTTAGCTGTATATATATATATATATATATATATATATATATATATATATATATATATATATATATATATATATACCATATGAAAGAACCAAACATCAGCAATCAGTAAAGAAAAAAAAACTGGAGTATACGATAGATCTGAATCTATCTAATGGAGCTGATACTGGTCTGAGTAGGTTGTTAGTTGGTCGGTTACATTTTCGTTCTTCCTATCCTGTTCTTTTAATACATGGACCAGCTGTTACTGACCAAGGTTAAGGCTACCTCATGTGGTGGGAGGAGCTTAGTATGTGTGGTGGGAGGGGCTCTTGTATTTTGGTGGGAGGGACTTTGTGTGGTGGGAGGAGCTGCAGACCAATTGTAGTGAGGGTTTTGGTCCTGTGGTGTGAGAGACTCTGGTCCTGTAATGGGAGGGGCTTAGTATGTTTGGTGGGAGGGACCTTATGTGGTAGGAGGGGCTCTATTCTTGAGGTGGGAGTGGCTTTGTGTGGTGGGAGGAGCTGTGGACCAATTGTAGTGAGGGTTTTGGTCCTGTGGTATGAGAGACTTTGGTCTTTTAGTGGGAGGGGCTTAGTATGTTTGGTGGGAGGAGCCCTGGCCTTGTCTGTAGTGGGGTGATCACGCCCATAAAGTGAAAAGCTCTTGGTTCTACTCACCGCTGGTTCCCATGTGTGACCTTGACCTTCCCCAACAGCAGCTGTTCAAGATGGCAGCCGTGTTACATCACGATGATCACATGGTCCATCTTTTAAAATATTGTTTTACAGGAAATTATTTTTTATAGGTTTTCCAGGTCTTTGATGATCAGCTGAAATTTTTTGATACTAGGAAGGGAGATAACTTGTTCTGTAGTGATACTAGGAAGGGAGATAACATGTTCTGTAGTGATACTAGGAAGGGAGATAACATGTTCTGTAGTGATGAAAGGGAGATAACATATTCTGTATGTTCTGTAGTGATACTAGGAAGGGAGATAACATGTTCTGTAGTGATACTAGGAAGGGAGATAACATGTTCTGTAGTGATACTAAGAAGGGAAATAACATGTTCTGTAGTGATACTAGGGAGATAACATGTTCTGTAGTGATACTAGGGAGATAACATGTTCTGTAGTGATGGAAGGGAGATAACATGTTCTGTAGTGATACTAGGAAGGGAAATAACATGTTCTGTAGTGATACTAGGGAGATAACATGTTCTGTAGTGATACTAGGGAGATAACATGTTCTGTAGGGATACTAGGAAGGGAGATAACATGTTCTGTAGTGATACTAGGAAGGGAGATAACATGTTCTGTAGTGATACTAGGAAGGGAGATAACATGTTCTGTAGTGATACTAGGAAGGGAGATAACATGTTCTGTAGTGATACTAGGAAGGGAGATAACATGTTCTGTAGTGATACTAGGCAAGGAGATAGCATGTTCTGTAGTGATACTAGGAAGGGAGATAACATGTTCTGTAGTGATGAAAGGGAGATAACATGTTCTGTAGTGATACTAGGAAGGGAGATAACATGTTCTGTAGTGATACTAGGAAGGGAGATAACATGTTCTGTAGTGATACTAGGGAGATAACATGTTCTGTAGTGATACTAGGAAGGGAGATAACATGTTCTGTAGTGATACTAGGAAGGGAGATAACATGTTCTGTAGTGATACTAGGGAGATAACATGTTCTGTAGTGATACTAGGGAGATAACATGTTCTGTAGTGATACTAGGGAGATAACATGTTCTGTAGTGATACTAGGGAGATAACATGTTCTGTAGTGATACTAGGGAGATAACATGTTCTGTAGTGATACTAGGGAGATAACATGTTCTGTAGTGATACTAGGAAGGGCGATAACATGGTCTGTAGTGATACTAGGGAGATAACATGTTCTGTAGTGATACTAGGAAGGGAGATAACATGTTCTGTAGTGATACTAGGAAGGGAGATAACATGTTCTGTAGTGATACTAGGAAGGGAGATAACATGGTCTGTAGTGATACTAGGAAGGGAGATAACATGTTCTGATGTTCTGTAGTGATACTAGGAAGGGAGATAACATGTTCTGTAGTGATACTAGGAAGGGAGATAACATGTTCTGTAGTGATACTAGATAACATGTTCTGTAGTGATACTAGGAAGGGAGATAACATGTTCTGTAGTGATACTAGGAAGGGAAATAACATGTTCTGTAGTGATACTAGGGAGATAACATGTTCTGTAGTGATACTAGGAAGGGAGATAACATGGTCTGTAGTGATACTAGGAAGGGAGATAACATGTTCTGATGTTCTGTAGTGATACTAGGAAGGGAGATAACATGTTCTGTAGTGATACTAGGAAGGGAGATACATGTTCTGTAGTGATACTAGGAAGGGAGATAACATGGTCTGTAGTGATACTAGGAAGGGAGATAACATGTTCTGTAGCCACACTAGGAAGGGAGATGGGCTACAATGGTAGCAATGTTGATAGCATTATGGGTAGTGATGCTAATCAGTACAATGAGTCCTTTCTGATGGTGGAGGGGGGGGGGGGGGGATACCACAATTTAAGAAACCGAGATATCATAGGAGTGCGGTGTGAAGAGTGTAGGTGCACACTGAGTAGTGTGGGCACTTCCAGGGTGATACCATAAAGGGTGGAAAAATATGCATCACGTGATCTCTGAGTCATGTGACATTGTGGATGTGTAAACTACCATCTAATGTCATCAATAATTCAACGGCTGCTGTATCGGGGTAACACAAACACACAGACACACACACATTGTCGTACACACTAATACGCTTACGTGCATGCACTAGCACACATACACACATCAATACACTTTTACACTTGCATACACTCACACACACACACGATGTTTGCAATAGACCTCTAAAGCTACAATAGACCAAGAAAAACGAAATTAAATTAAATTAATGTAATTTTCTTAACGACCAACAAAAGAGTTTCTACATAAAAGCATGCTATTAGAAAATCAAGGAGTGACCATGGTTGTGTTTTTGTCCAAGGGGTTATGTCGCGATGGGGTTTATGCCCAGGGGGTTTATGTCTGAGAGGGGGGGGGGGGATTGTCCAAGGTGTTTTTGACCGGACACCAATCGACCCTAATGATACAATAGACCTCTAATGCTACAATAGACCACTAATGCAGGTTGTACAACAATATACCCCTAATGCTACACTAGACCACGCATGCTACAATAGACCTCTAATGCTACAATAGACAACTAATGCTACAATAGACATCTAATGCTACAATAGACCTCTAATGCTACAAAGTACCACTAATGCTACAATAGACCTCTAATGCTACAAAGTACCACTAATGCTACAATAGACCTCTAATGCTACAAAGTACCACTAATGCTACAATAGACCACTGGTCAACCATCGACAGACAGCCCAGTGTATTGGGCGAACCAAGATTGTTGTATGTCGATACAACATCTTGACCGCTACTTATTAAAGTTGACCAGCATTACCCAAACCACACACGCTAAACACACACCAC